AACAACTTACAAAAGCAACTTGTACTTTAAATTTTAAAAATAGTTCTCTAAATTACTCGTCTTGACACGTGTAAAAAAAATCACAAAAGACAATTTTATCTAAACTTAAGGTTTTATAGAAAGTCCTAGCTGGTATCACATCCTGTTCCCCTCATAACTTGGAGCCTTGGCCCTGTACCTCTGCCTTTCCCTACAGGCTTTTTCTGGATTTCAGCATGTAAAGCCATATAATGAACTGGCACTAGAAAACCGCAACCTGGTAACAGAATACTGTTCTGAATTTTAACCACATGTAAACTGCACGTTACTTCTAATTCTTATCCCCATCGCCAAACTTCTTGTTACACTGACACTCTGTATCACATTTTGTATACTACTTGTCACAAAATTAAATATGTTAATATCTTCAACTGCACATTTAAGTTCTCAAGCAACCATCTTTCATACTGTCTTTTGTAAAAACTAAAAGAATAATGTTCTTAAGGAAAGACAAATGCTCCATTGGGGAAATTATTGATAGTACTAGAAACTAGGACTAAGAAGTTTTTAGAATTGTTAGTTATGGCATCCTAATAGTTATTTAAGTCATAACTGCTACTCTGGTGGGAGTGTTGGCTCTCACATCTTAAGTATAAACCAATGAGCTGGTTAAAACTGTTTCAAAGATAGAAAGAACACAAGGGAAAAAATAGGCATAGACATTTCAATAAGACTGGGTACTCATTGATAGCATTCATTGGATCGGGCAACAAGTGATCATACTTATATTTGTAGTCCTGATTTATCTTATAATAAATATAAATACTCATGGTAGTTGGTTAAAAACCCATCTAGACAGAGTATAGACACAACACAACAGTATTACTGACCTTGGCCTTCCATAATCCTCCCCAAAACAAGGTCAGGTCTATCACAGCAATTCCTCAACTTCTGTTTTAATTAGGGTTTCTATTGCTGTGATGAAACACCATCACCAAAAGCAAACTGGGGAAGAAATGATTTATTTGGCTTACACTTTCACAACATAGTACATCATCAAAGGAAGTCAGGGCAGGAACTCAAGCAGGGCAGGAACCCAGAGGCAGGAGCTGATGTAGAGGTGCTGCTTACTGGCTTGCTCCTCATGGCTTGCTCAACCTGTTCTCTTATACAACTCAGGACGCTAGGCCAGGGATGGCACCACTCATGATGGGTGTACATGTAGGGCCTACAGGCTTGCCTACAGCCCAACCTTGTGGAGGAATTTTCTCAGTTGAGGCTCCCTCTACTCTGATGACTCTAAATTGTGTCAGATATGACATAAAACTAGCCAGCATATATATATATATATATATATATATATATATATATATATATATATATATATCCATGCAATAATAATTAGTAATAAAAGGGACTGGGAGAATATCTCAAAAGGGGAATAGAATATATAGGGAGAGCCAGTGGGAAGAGTGGAGCTAGAGAATTAAATGGAGAGGAAGGTAGAATAGGGAGTAAAGGAAGGAACACAACACCAAGAGCCATTTGAGGGCTCACATGGAAACCTACTATTGTTGTGACTTCTTAAAATGTACACATATATGAGATCAGGTGATGGTGGCACATGCCTTTAATCCCAGCACTTGGCAGAGGCAGGCAGATCTCTGAGTTTAAGGCCAGCCTGGTCTACAGAGCAAGTTCCAGGACAGCCAGGGCTACACAGAGAACCCCTATCTCAAAATATATATATCTATATATATATGGATTCACCAAATAATGGGAGGGACAAAGCCCCAACTAGGCACCTCTTAAAACCAAGCGGAACCTCTAGTGCCATGGGTTCCATCTAATTAAGCTGTGTATGTATAGGTAATACCTAATTGCGCTGCTGGCCAAAGGTTCCCTCTGGGAACCCTCTACCAACTCAGGCTATTGACAACCTTACTGGCTGCTCTCCACAAACTAATGATGAGGTCCAGTTGCTGAAGACAACAATCACATATATCATTGAATATTTATTATATAATTGTATGCATGTATGTCTATATATTAAGCGAGTTTATGTCACTTCAGTTGACAACACTCCCCAAGAACCATGGACTAACAAAGACGCCAGTGGATGGTCAGGGTGATCCAATGATGCTCAAAATAATATAGGCTAATAATGTTATATTTGGATATCTCACAGAGGTTGAACATAAGACCCATTTGCTGGATACAACACATATTTAGGATACAGGACATGGAGGATGCAAGCTCTGACCCTAAAGCTTCTGTCCTGCTGTCTTACTTCCATGGTTCAAGAAAATATTATGCAAGCTTCCAGAGGAAGAAAACAATATTCCTACCCAGCTGTGACACCTATAAACCACAATAACCAGCATCCTAAGATGCAATAGTGGTACTTACATGTTGGTGGTAACCAAACAGCTCTCTAAATGGACTTAAAGACCACCCAACAGGAGAGAAGTCATGTCTGGTACTAAAAACCTAGGCAACTCCCTGGGTGAGGTCAAGAATCTCAGAAAAGAGCCTATTACCATCACTTCCCTAGACCAGCATATTCCTTAACTACATTCCAAAATTTCTCCTTATACCCACTCATAAATGTGGCTCACCCCTCAACAAATAAGCTTCTCTTTACAAGTGGACACAAAGCAAACATGAATAGGTTTGGGAGAGCCCAGCCCCACTGGATACATCTGAAGCACAGTCCCTACACTTGTGGTTCAGGAAACATCACATAAGAGGAGACAGAAAGATCTTAACAGACAGAATACCAGAAAGTCTGCTGTATAACTATTCTCTTAGAAAGGGTTACATAAACAAGAGCCAAAGAGTAGTATCAGAAGTGAGGGAGAAATTTTCATGGGTTCCACCCCTAGACAAAAAAAAAAAGCAAACGCAAATAATGACTGTTGAGAAGAAAGGGAGATTTGTCACTCCAAGAAATGAGTTCCTTGACTGGGTATCCAATATCTAATGGTCAGCCCTGAAACTATACACACAGAAACAGAAATGGACACAGTGGGTTGTATTTATTTGTATGTACATCCTAGAGTTTTTGCAGAGATGGACATTTTGATGCTGTCAGACCCACAGCTGCTTGCCATGAGACAAGTCACAAGCTTTCTATAATTATTTCCTCATGTCACCAAGACATGACTACTCCAAAAACACCACAGGGCTGCTGTGAAGGTAACAAATGTTAGACTTTTTAACAAGATACAATGCAGAAATTTTGCCTTAAGAAATACACTGCTTTCTGTGCCACATCAATATCCTAGTTTTATGGATGCGAGAGAACTTTTCTAAATAGGTGGTGGCAAATGATCAATTCTACATACATGTTTCTCTTGATCTTCATTTCTATCTGGAGAAAAAGTACGATCTTATGCTCTATCCTTAGTAGTCCTCCAGGGTCAGCAGGAGAAATATGTTGGCTTGATTTCAACATTTTATCAAACCTTTCAGACTACAGACTACAATTTATTACCTAAAACATTTAAAATTGTAGTGAGACAAAAATTTAAAAATAAAGACAATAAATCTCCTGGCTGAGGAGTAAGATCTAAGAGTCACTGTCAAACCACAAGTTTTGTTACTCTGCTATACAAATTAATACTACATTAATGAAAATGGCTCAAAAGTAAGAGAGAGGGAGAGAGGGGGAAGTGAGGTCCATCATGGCAACTACTTGAAGAGAACACAGAAATGCCAGCAGTTAAGTACTACTCAAACTCTAAGGTAATGTGAACAATTACCGAAGGGTTTTATTTGCTTACGTATGTTTTGCAAAAAAAGCAACACAGTTTTGCAAGAGCTGGGAAAAAGGTCCTTTCTGATCTACGCATCCATACCCACAGAGCACATCCTCCACAACCTCAGCCAACAACTGCCAAGGGAGCATCTTCTACTTTCCAAACAGATTCTTGGGTTCTAGGATGAAAACATTGCAGCATTTGTACACAATCAGTGAGTGAATGCTCTGTTACAGTCTAATAAAGGATCCTTGGAGCCAGCTGGGAGTCGTCAAGACCTCTCCAGTGACTCTCCTGAAGGCACTGGCTGAGGTACTCTCCAGCCTGCAATTCACAAACCAGCTTGCTTTTAGCGACACCATGTGTTGGAAGTCTAGAGGACTGGGTAATTTTATTACTAGGGACTTCAAAGGCATATAACAAACTGGAGGAGATATCTCAGGGACATAGTTTAGCAAATAAATTAATAAATGTAGGTAATAAATTAACTTTAACTTGTTTTTAATTCAATGATTTATTTAAATTAAGAAATCCTAAAGAATAAATAAATACTTCCCAAGTTTCTTGGCTGAAATCTTGGTTCTTTGAACTACTTACTAGAATCACAACCATGTGGCTATTTGTCATAATAAATGTAAAAGGTATTACTGTTTTAATTTTTTTTAAACATGCCACGCTAGATTTTGACTCCTGTAAGATAGCAAATTTTTGAAAAAAGAAGAGTAAACCTTACGTCTATTATTTTCTCAATTCACTGGAAACATCTGGCCGGCTAAAATGTGTCTGACTTTCAAAAATTACATTTTAAACAATTTGGGAAAGCAGTAGAAAAAAATTAATATTCTCTAACTTTAGTTTTTAAAGGTAATTTGTGAGGATTTCTGCAAAGAAATAGTAAATAAGACTAACCTTGTATTTAGTTCAGCTCCAGTATTTTGACTTCAGGTGCAATAAATTTATATTACTAAATTCATGGGTAACTGTCAATAATCTTTAAAAATCTAATCTTTAGATACATGGAAATTTCCACAAAATTCATCTAGTAAATACATGATTCCATTTAGACTGTTCTAAGCATTCTCTGAACTCATAATTCTCTGGTTTCTTCTCTGAAGCCACTTTGACTTATATATAAAACAAGATTATGGGGAGGTGACTATAACACCTAAAAATTTAGTGGCTAAAAGACAATAAAAACAACATTAACCCCATTTTTAAACAGAAAAACACATTTTAAGTGATTAATCATAAAATGCAAACTGTAATCAACAGCATTTATTTTCCCTTTTTGAGGAATTGAACAGTAGACATTACTTAGCAACACAGGCTGGCTGGTATGGACAGCTGCTACTTACACATTACTTTGTGCGTTTAAGTGTCCGTGTTAAGCTCCCGCTCTTAGCAGTCATAAAAGTAACGCTCCCTGCAACATTTAACATGTAACACCACTTTCAGTTTGCATGCATTTCTAGTTGAGTGACATCTGCAGGCATTGCACTGGAGAGTGTTTGTAAATTTGATACTTGTAAAGAAATGAAATGTTAAATGTTGCATGAGTAATCAACGAACTAGATATTACTTTATTACAAAACCTAATCCACTATAGGTACACACATCAACTTTTGTTTTATTAAACTGATAAACAAGTTTCATTTGTTGAAATATATTGACTCTCCCTCCTCCTTCATTACACGTAAGGGCAAATTTCCTATGAGGTTTCTGTTTTTCTTGAATACTCCAAGCAAGTTTAAATAAAAAGTAATGAGGATTTTTATCTTCAGGAGAGCTCATTTGAAGAATAAAACTTTACACACACACACACACATGAAAAAAAAGGAAAAAAACAAGAAAGACTGCAGTCATTATTTAAGATGAGCATGAGGCACAAATTCCCAGGAGAACTTTAATTGTGTTCCCTTTAAGATAAGTTCTTTTAGAAATGAAAGACATGTGAGGCTCCTTAAGGTTAAGTGTGCAAATGGTAATGGCTGCCATGATTGTTAGGTATCTCTAAAAGTAGCTCTACAATCATCTGATGATCCAAACATCACAAGCATACAATAAATTTCAAGTTTCTGGCACTGCAACGCTGGGTGTGATGCAAACAAGAAAGCTATTTCCTGGTGTTTTGATGTCTTATTCTTGATGTTCAAGCAGAAAGTGTCTACTTTCATTTGATGCAATAAGCAGGTCTATGAACTTGCAGTGATGAAGGAAATCCCAAGTTACAAGTACACACACACAAATGGCTCCGTATAATAAATATATACAGCAAATAAAATTATTACATACAATAAAAAACCCTTCAACCCCTGCTTACAATGTGCCAAATCTAATCATAAGTTTTTTTCAATGATGATATAATCTATTTGCTTAAAGGTCAAGCCTCGTGATACTATCCACTGCTTTAAGAATTAACACATTGACCTGAATCCAGGTTAAACAAACATACAACAAATATTAAGGTCAGTAAAATAGATTCAAGTCATTGTAATTTCATTTTACACTTGATACATTTTTGTTTCTATTCAGGATCAATTTTACTTCAGCATGAGTGTTATACACTAAAATGTAATTTTACATTTTAAATTTAAAGTATTACCTTTATTGAGTTTTCCATTTTAGAAAGGTTCCCATCCAGTATCATATACATATATACATATATGTAAGTATACATTTAAGTATACATATATATGTATATATGTAAATATGTATCTATGCCTTAAGAAAAATGAGAAGTCAGAATAATCAGCATGAGGTTTTCTACCAGTCTTAATTCCCAGCCTATTTCTTTCCACGCAGTATTTTATTATCATAGCAAATTATCCAGACCACATCTTTTGGATGAGCCAATCACAGAACCTAAATCTCAAATGCTATTCTGAAGAAGTGTGGAGTAAATAATTTTGGTAATCTGTAAGATGGCTGCATGCAGTGTATACTGTATTATAACAGCACCAAACCCTTTATAAAAGCCAAACACTCCTTCCTCCTGCTTGATGGTATTTATACAGTCTCTCATCCCCTCATACTGCGTATTAATTGGAAGTACTTCATAGCCAAGGTCTGTATTGTCAATTATTGTGCGTGTTCCTTGAATATGAAGGCGATGCAGAACGGTTTCCAATGGGTAAAGTATAACGTCAGAGCAAAGGCTGGCAGCAAAGTTAGCAATAAGTTCTGGAAAATAAGCATCCAACATACTCTGCATGGGGCTAGTACTCTCAGCTAGGTGGCTATTATAGGTCTTTCTCTTCAGAATTAGGAGGACAATCTTCTGAATGATGGAGCTGATGATGTAGTGAAGAACTCCATGCAGCACTGTTGGGAAGACCAATGAGAGCAGCGGAAGCAGGCGTTTGCTGTGAGGCACTCCTAAGCCTATCACTCTTCCAATTCCTTCTTTAACACATTCCAGGATGCCAGTGTTATCTCGGATTATCTCACTCTGAAACAATAGTGATGGAAAAGGCACAATTTTATTTTAAAAAAAAAGAAAAAAAGATTTGTTTCAACTATATGGTTATTTTGCCTGCTTGTGTATTTGTACCATGTGTGTGCATAGCTGCTGAGTCCAGAAGAGGTCAGCAGATCCCCAAGGAACAGAAATGCTGACAATTGAATCCAGGGACTAGAGAAATGACTCAGAGGTTAAGAGCACTAGCTGTTCTTCCAAAGGTCCTGAGTTCGATTCCTAGCAACCACATGGTAGCTCACAGCCATCTATAAGGAGATCTGTTGCATAATGAGATCTTGTGTATATGTATACATAATAAATAAATAAATCTTGAAAGAAAGAGAGAGAGAGAGAGAAAGAAAGGAGGGAGGGAGGGAGGGAGGGAGGGAGGGAGGGAGGGAGGGAGGGAGGAAGGAAGGAAGGAAGGAAGGAAGGAAGGAAGGAAGGAAGGAAGG